AGAGACAGCACCCAGGCCCTGACACGTGTGTGTGCATGCGTATATATATACACACACACACACACACACTTTTAAAAATGCTATAATGTGGGGCTGGGAAGGTGGCTCAGTGGTAGAGCGCTTGCCTTGCATGCATGAGGCCCTGGGTTCGATTCCTCAGCACCACATAAGTAGAAAAAAACAGAAGTGATCTGTGGCTCAAGTGATAGAGCACTAGCTTTGAGCTGAAGAGCTGAGGGACAGTGCCCAGGCCCAAAGTTCAGGCTCCACAACCAAAAAAAAAAGTGTTATAATGACAAGGCTCCTCTATTTGACCAAACTTTAAATAAGATTCTCTGGTAATTTTTGTAAAATCTAGTTTCAGCAAAGAACCCCATGTAGTCAGTTTAGCACAACCCCTTACTCTGGATAGCCAATCAGGTTCTCATCTTCCAGTAGCCACCAGAAGATCCTGCATCACCCCGGTCTGTCTTCAGCACCAGTGCTGTTTAGGTTGATTTAGACAAAGACCCCCACGCCCCTGTCACTTGGGCCTGTCCTCAGCAGCAGTGCTGTTCAGGTTGGCTTAGCCAGAGTCCTCCACACCTCTATGGCTCCTCTTAGTAGTCTTCCATTCACTCACCCCAACTCTGCTCCTTGGTTCTACAATCTTGTTTGTGCAGACTGTGTTTAGAGCTGTACCCCGTTTTTCTCACTTGCTGCAAGACCCCAGTGTGATGGGTCTTACACCTGCACACTGGTCCTGAAGAAAGTCTCCCTTACCATGCTTTAACAAGAAGCACTGCATACTTCCCCCACCGCCCCTTTAACCACTGTGAAAATGTTGGCAGGCTATGTAAAATTCTTCTAATGTGTCTGGAAGCTGTTATGGAAAATTAAAATTCTAAATGTGGTAGAGAGAAAGAAAATCTCCGTAGGAATAAAGAGTTATTCAAAGCCATTTTTGTAAGGAAGAATGAAACATCTCCTTAACTCGATTTGCAAGTTATGTTTATTGCTCTTATAATTTTTATTTTCAGTATGTGTCTTACACATACAATTATTGGGGATAAACAGAAGTAAAAACATCAATCTAATTAGCAGGAGAACACAGCCCGTTTCTTTTTAATAGAGGGAAGAAAGCATGAGCAACTTTGAGTTGAAATCAAGCGTGGAAATCTACTGTTTCTCATCATTGAAAGCTTCCTGTAACTTCTATTAAATATAACCAAGCCTACTTGATATGCATTTTTAATCCAAAGTTTCAAATCACAGATAATGTGATTAAAGCATAGATAATGTAAGTGCTAATAAGGTGGTCCTTTTCCAATGTGCATGATGGTGCCAATACATGTCAGAAATAAATGAACTAGAGCCTGTGCATCTGTAAAACTCAAAATATAAGAAAAAGTTTGATCACTTTCATGATAGCATTTTATATACATGCAAAATATATATAATATCTAAACTCAAGTTGGAAGGGAAAATGTCAACTAGTGTCTCAGTTACTGGCACACTCTAATTATGGAGAAAGGTGTTTTATTTTAACACAGCAAAATATCAGCTCTTTTTTATTTTTTATTTATGGTTGTTACTAATTGAAAAATGTCTTACAACAGATGTTCACATTTACAAAGCAGCATCTGTTTTCCACATGTGCTGTTTTAAGATGAACTCAACCCTCTTTACTTTTGTGAAAGCCATAGTTTTCTAAATCATACCTGGATATCTGCTCACAAACATTTGGTTGATGGAAATAACTTTTCTGAAATCAAGTATACTGGATAAATATACCCACAGTGCACTTGGTAACGATTTGACAATAGCATATTTTGCTTTTTAGAATCAGCATCTGTAAAGTATGACATCTTAGAGCATTGAATTATTATTTATTTTGGTGAGACTGGAGTTTGAACTCAGAGCCTTGCATGTATTAGGCAGGTACACTACTGATGAGCCATACTTCTAGCCCAAGGATCTTTGATTTTTGTGGGGTTTTTTAAATTAATTTTTAAAAAATGGGATGTTTAGCAGGACACTAATGACCTCTCACACCTATAATCCTAGCTACTCAGGAGGCTGAGATCTGAGGATCATGATTTGAAGCCAGCCCAGGCAGAAAAGTCCATAGGACTCTTATCTTTAATTAACACCAAAAAGCCAAAAGTAGAGCTGCAGCTCCAGTAGTAGTAGAATGACAGCTTTGAACAAAAATCCCTCAGGGATAGTGCTCACGCCCTGAATTCAAACCCCAGGACCACACAAAAAAAGAAAGGGATGTTGATGTCCTTATGAGAAAAACATTGGCAACTTTCTTGTCAGATATTCTTTTTTATGTTTATAATAAATTCAAGGCAAATGGTAATTTGAATACAATGATAGCTTGATATAAATGATCATTTGAATGCAGTACAAGCAGTGAAGGAAGTGTTTTGCAGTGACATCTAAGTTTAAAATGTCTGCTTTTGAGTCTACATTTTAACAAAAAAATATATAATCTGCACCAAATCATGAAAATAATACCTAATACAAGAGAAATGAACAAAGATAGAATATGGCCCCAGCAAATGAAATATTTTCTGTGAACTCTCCTATGTCTTAACACATTCCACTCAAGCATGGTTCAAACTCTGCCATGAACCTGAAATCAAGAAAGAATCTTTGATAGCTAAACCATCAAACTAATCCATACAGCTGACATTATTTTTTTAAAGATTTTATAAAATCTCTAAGCACTTGTGGCTCATACCTGTAATCCTTGATACTCAGGAGACTGAGATCTGAGGATCATGGTTTGAAGCCAGCTGGGATAGAAAAGTCTGAGATACTCCTGTCTCCAATTAATTTTCAAAAAGTCAGAAACTGTGGGTGTGACTTAAGTGGTAGAGCTCCAGCCTTCAGCAAAGCTAATCAAGAGTGAGAGGCCTTGAATTCAAGCCTCAATATACACACAGACACATACACACACACACACACACACACACACACACACACACACAGAGTATCTCTGTCACACATATACAAACTCTTACATCGTGTACTAAGGTACATTGACAATAAAACTTTAGAAAGTAAGTATCCATCTTTTTCTTTTCTGTACAAGTAATTGCCTACTACATAGCTATTTCCATGCTAATAGAATTTTCTGTGATTTCTCCAGCTAATCAGTTTTAATGCCAAAGTAAGGGATCCTTTGGCTTTTTCAAAAGTTTTATTCTGTGAAAGTTATCGTTACAATTAGAATATAAAAAGTTAACAGGTGAAATAAAACAAAATGAAGAAGTTTTGAATTCTCAAGCATTTTAAACGTTTCAAACCCTTGCAGGTGCTTGTTTATGCAGTAAACCACTTTGAATTTCCCTACATTTATCACTCAGTGGGCCAAAGAGCAAGGAGCAGATTATTTCATGGTCATGCTTACAAGGCCTGGGTCAGGAGATAGACCCAGCCCCAGTTGCTGTGTGACTTCCTGTGGACATTGTAATGCTGTTTTCCAGAGCTCACCCCTTGCTGCTTAGTCTCCTGTGGCATGTTGTCTGTAACCTAACCACATGGTCACGAGCGACAGTTGCGCAATAACAGGCATACTCATATACCGCTTCCTTAAATCCACGAATGCTTGCTTCTTCACATCAATCCTCAGTCCACAAAACACATAACACAAAACCTGCTCTCAGACATTCCTTTGGGGACCTTTAGTGACACATTATAGCTACACTAATTACCTAATCCACTCCTAAACGTGATCTGATATTTACTCGATGAGCAACCAACATTAATCAAAGGTCATTCACTCTGCTAATGAATGGGTCTCACAATATCAGACCAGTGAAGAATCTGAGAGTTTAGATAATATGGTCTTTTCATTTGAAAAGGAGGATGACTGAACCTCAAAGTCTATTTCTGTCTCAGGCTGTTTGCTTGAAAGGCATTAGAAATTAGTCTTGGGCCTTCATCTTTCTTTTGTCCACACATCACACCGTTTACTCTGGAAGTCCATCTGAACTGCATAACAATTTCATTTTTCTTTCTATTGAGTGATAACTGGGGCTTGAAATCAGGGCTTCACATTTGCTAGGTAAGTGCCACTAGCACTCTTAAGCATTTATTATTTCTTTCTAAGAATTTCTATGTTCAATTTTATTTGCATACCTTCACTTTCAGCCTTTTAAAAAAGTCAGTCTGAATGATCTGGGTACTGGTAGCTCATACCTATAAATCTTAACTACTCGGGAAGCTAGATCTGAGGACTGTGGTTCAAAGTTATCCTACTCACAAAAGTCAGTGAGGCTCTTATCTGCAGTTAATCATCCCCCCCAAAAAAGTGTGGTGTGGCTCAACTGATAGAGCACCAGCCTTCATGGAAAAAGCTAAAGGACAGTACCCAGGTTCTGAGTTCCAGCCCCAGTACTGACACAAAGTTTACATAAATAAGACTTTGAAACTATTTAGGAAAAAATTTAAAACAATACCAAGAAATCATTTTTTAGGTAAGCATTACTTTTTGATATATTCTTGTCATGAATTTCCCCAATGCTGACTAGGAGTATGAATCAATGATGGAGCACCTGCCTAGACAATGCAAGATCCTGAGTCTGATCTCTAGTTCTGAAAAAACAATTTAATTCCACAATGTTCTATTAAATATTATAACTAGTAATAGCATACCATCATTCCTTCCTAGAGTAAGGCACATAGGAAAACTCAATTTCACCTCAATTATGTCGAGTTTAGTTGTATAGGTACCTCTTATAGATTGTATTAAGATTCTGAATGTCAACTAAGTGTCAGAGAATCATAGCAGAAATAATGTTTTTCTTTGAAGAAATTCTCTGTACCAACTCACAGGGATGTGATTGACCCTCCTGTGTACACACACACACACACACACACACACACACACACACACACACTGCTGATAGGTGATCTATGAAAGCCAAAGCCAACAGTGGTTCTTAATCTTTTTAAAAACTAAAGAACCCTACAAAGAAGCAATTAGGAAAAAAATACCCACAGATGTTTCATGTTTGACGTCTCCATCCCCTTGGGTGTGGGTTGTACTTGCAATTGGTTAGTGGAAGGCAGTAATCAGACCTGGTTTCCAAGGACATTATTTCAGAATCATTTCTGGAACCTTGCCTATAGAATGCATATGGCGGCTGTGAGCCGTATTGGTAGTTGGTGGACATGCTATTGTTGATTGGGAATGCAACATTATCATCTAGCCTTTCAAGTGAACTTGTGTTGGTCTGGGTTTGGGAAGCATAGGACGCTCTCTCATTCCAGTCTTCTGCAGGCCCTGGAAGCACTTTCCTTCGAGCTGCAGAAACCACATTGGCCACAATGGATTCCTGGATGCTCCTGGGTCTGAACGCATCATCCACCAGGCCGAGAGGAGACCTTGCTGCAGCTTCCCAAGGAGTTGGTCTTTTGTTGGCTTTCTCCAGCCTGTCGGTTGGTTTGACAGGGTAAGCAGGCTGGTATTCCCAAAGCGATGTAGACATGGTAGGTGGGATGGGTCTTCCAGGAAGAGAAAGAGCGCGCCCACCACTTTCCTAAAAACAATGAAGATATGAATGCACTTTACAGTGATGATTATTATTCCAAGCATGTGCAACACCATTACAAAGCACTACAAAAGCTGAGGCCCAAATGCTTAACTGGGAAAGGGTGGTCTCATGTCTGGTGTTTTCTCCCTTTCCACTTAATTCTCAATGACTTTCCTTCTTGTCCTCCATCTCTGATCCCACAGCTCCAACTGCTGTCCTCTTTCTAGGCAAGTCCCCTACAGGGACAGCCCTGTCACCAGTCGGAACCCATCGTCCAGTCGTCCTTCACAAATTCATATCTGCATCCACAGCCCACCTCCCTTCCAGGCCTGTTTTCCTGGTACAAAATAAGCAAAAACATGTTGAGAACCCCAGAAGCCATAAACCACTTGACCTTTGACTTTTCTCAAGTGACTTTCAATCTCCTTATCTCACTTTGGTTGACTGGATATAGCAAAGCACACAAGAGCCATTATATATCATTAGTTACTGGTGGGATTTGAATGCCCACCTTTGTCCTTTCAGGGCTCAGATGGTGAAAACTCCTTGGGTTTTTACTTGCTAAGTGGGGTGCACTACCCTTGTCTCTGAGGGAGTTCACTCTGTTCCTCTTATTTGTATTTTGCTTCCTTTTATAAATAGTACATTCTGACTTCTTTGAGTGTTTGTGTCCCTAACACAGGCCTCTGTGTATACTATATGATCCGCCTGGCTAATCTGCAGTAGTGTAATTTATTGAGAGTCCTTTTACACTTTTGCCTTTCTTGGGTCCCTGAACTCATTGATTCTATTCCTTATTTTCTTCTACATTCATTCCTATTTACAGGAGATTTCCTTAGAACCAGTCCTGGCAAAAAAGAAGCAAGGATATACTTAGGGAAAAGTCATCTTTGAAAGTATGAAAAGATCCCTTTTCTTGACCAAAAAGCCATACGTGTATGATGGTGGTATTTCAGCTCAGAGCCTTGTGCTTGTTAGGCAAATGCTCTACCATTAAGTCTATATTTTAATCTGGAATCTCGAGTCAATGCGTAGTAACGACATCACTAATAGTAACAATGGTACAGTAGTGTGTCACTACAAAAGTCTCTCGCTTTCTTTTTAAAAAGGAAATAGTGGCTAAACACAGAATCAAATTGTGTTTCTACAAATTACTTCTGAGAATCTTGACTTTCATGGCTTTACCACAGTAGCCCCAGTAACATAATCATTTACTGTTCTGACACAGCCATTTTCACTTAGATCCACTCTGAACACCTTCTCCATGCCTCATAGAAGTAACATCTGTGGTGTTCATTCCTTCAGGTTTTCTTCTTCCTCGAGTCTGAGAAGCCAGACACGCGTAGGCTCCATATTTTGGTCGTGTTGAGTACATCAACATGAACACCACGGACTGAGGAAAACCATCACTCAAGCTGACCACAGGGCTGTGTCACCTGCCACATGGTACAGTTCACATCCAGTCTGCATAGTCAGAGATCAGTGTTCTCAATGAATATTCTCAAGGGGCTCAACCCACGAGCATGCACATCCCCTTTAGCTAGACCCATCTGCCTACAGCGAAGACCAAAAGACTTCCACTGAACTCAGGAGTCTTCTGGTGTTAAATATCCCCACAAAAGGGGCTGAACTCCAAGGAGACATGATCCTACCCTTTGCCTTTAATTATAGTCAGCATGAACCGATTGCCCTTTGTGTACCAGGCAATACATGGAATTATTTCATACAATCTTCACAGCTCCCTGAAGCAGATGCTCTATTATTATCTCTGTTTTCTTGATGACAATAAAATCTGCTGGGAATTTGGCTTAATGGCAGAGTGCTTGCCTAACATGCATGAAGCCCTGGGTTCGATTCCTCAGAACCACATAAATGGAAAAAGCCAGAAGTGGCTCTGTGGCTCAAGTGGTAGAGTGCTAGCCTTGAGCAAAAGAAGCTCAGAGACAGTGTTCAGGCCCTGAGGTCAAGCCCCAGGACTGGCAATAAAAAAAAAAATTTGCCACCTGGCTACAACGCTAATTCAGTTTGGTGTGACAGTTTCCTGTCACTGAGGTTCTTAGAAGGTACTTTCACTAAAAAGCACCATATCCTTCCTTCGGCCACCAAGATGACTAAAAGCAGAATAAATTGAGGCATTCCTCCCTCCATTTTATGATTACCATGGAAGCTAAGACAGACATGGCTGACAGCTGATGCGTAACTACCTTGTGTCCTAATTTGAAGCCACCGCATCCCTCGGAAAAGAAGCATCAGGCTTGCAGACAAACCACCCCCAAGTGAGGACAGGTACCTGTGGCCACAAGACCACAGCTGAAGCAGGAGAAAGCATCTCGTGGAGACCAGATCGCTCCCCTCCACTGATGCCGGCCATAACCACTCCTCCCAGCCCACCCCTTAGCAGAACCAGATCTGAGCTCAGGAGCAACGCACCCTCAGGTTACCCACTTCCCTCCCCAGCCCTAACTCTTCCTCTGTTGAAATCTGAACGTATATCTGTACCCCAAAGATGGGCTGAAATGCTTGCTTCTTTTCCTTTTCCTGTGCAACAAATCTCCTTTCTCTGCCCTTCATCATACACATCTCTACTTAGTGTGTTGGGGTGAGTGGCCAGACTCGACATGAGGAAATCCTGGAGTTGAGCCCCTGGCCTAAAGCTTCGTTACAATCTTGGGCTATGCTTTCAATGAAATATGAAATTACTTTGAAATATATATATATATATATATATACATATATATGGTGTGTGTGTGTATGTGTGTGTGCAAGTTCTAGGGCTTGGACTTAATGCCTGCATGCTATCCTTTAGCTTTTTTTTTCCTTTAGCTTTTTATGTTCAAGGTTGGTGCTTTACTACTTGGATCACAGCTCCACTTACGATTTTTTGGTGGTTAATATGGTCAATCGCATCTGAGAAATTAGAAATTGGAAAGAATCATCTAAGTTTCAACTACATTTAGCTTAAGAGCAACATTGCATCATGTGCCGTTCGCCACAAGGTCAGGCAAGTGACTGGCACACAGGGAAATTGATGCACTGCCTAGCGAGGTTCACCTGCTGCACAAAGGGGAAAGATGAGCGAGCTCTGAATTCAAGAGAAGCAGCTTCATACAAGCCATCTTTTCATGTTGATTGTCTTATATATAAAGCAACTTAGTTAATTTCCTTGTCAAACTGTCTGAGAACCACCCATCAGGAAACATGAAATGAATAAATACTAGTAGTAGTAGTAGTAGCAGCAGTAGTAGTAGTAGTAATAATAATGTCAGTCTGGCATGGTGCTGTGTACCTATAATCTCAACACTGAAGAGACTGGAGCAGGAGGATTTAGAGTTCTAGGACAGACTAAGACACATAGAAATACCTTGCTAATCCCCACACACACACAAAAAAAAAAAGAAAGAAAAGGGAAAAAGAAAAGAAGGAAATGTTATATGACTTTCACATAGGAACAAGTAGTGAATTGTAAAGCAATGTAAACAGTCCTAGAAGCCAAAGTTGAATATAGATTTCACCATTCTCAATATTTTCTTTTATAAATCTTGAAATCTGAAAAAAAAAATCTTTGGACTGAAATACTGCTTACACCCACACAATAGAGAAGGTCTCCTGCTGATTAGTATTATTTCACTTCCTTTGGTTCCTTTCTCTCTTAAACACATAATCAGAAAACACTTAATAAAAATATACACTCTATCATGAGTAGATTCCAGGAGGTCTAGGACAAGCAAACAGTACAGGCTTTTTCCTCTGCCATTAAAAAAAAAATCAAATCAGAAGCCAGTGCCTGTAATCCTAGCTACTCAAGAGGCTGAGATCTGAGGTTCAAGGTTCTAAGCCAGCCAGGGCAGGAAAGGCCATGATACCCTTATCTCCAATTCACTACCAGAACACAAGAAGTGGCTCTGTGGCTCAGGGGATAGAGCACTAGCTTTGAGCATATGAAAGCTCAGGGGCAGCGCCCAAGCCCTGAGTTCAAGCCCCATGACTGACAAAACAAAAACAACAAATAAAAATCACTGGAATTTCTGAAAATCAGATGATCTAGAGGAAGTATACAAAAAAAAAAAAGGAGAAAGCTTGTGAGAGGCATGGGCTGCCTCTGTTTGTCCATTTGCTGAGGTGAAAATCTCTGCAGTGAGTTCTGAGTCTATTCCAGCTCACATTTGCCATCACAACTGTCAGCAGGCTCAGACTCACTAATTTCACATCCAGTGTCCATCCTGTTCTCACCTTGTCTACCGCCACCGCCGGGGCTCAGCCACCCCCGAGATCTGGATCTCACCTGGATCACTGCCACTGTCTTCAAATGGCATTCTCTAGTTCCACCCTTTGCTTCCTTTAGTATTTCTCAGTGTGCCAGCCACAGTGAAAGCCTAAGTCAGCTCACATCTCTCAGTTCTTAAATTAAAACATGCGTACCATTTCTCATTTCAAAAACAGAAAAAGAAAAGAAAGATCCAAATCAACCTATCAACCTATAGGAGACGCTACATAATCAGCCAGAGCCCCTTGCATTTCTGATTCCATCAGATTCTGTCATGCTCTCTGCCTCCCTTTTCAGAGACCCTGAACACACCAGGCCCTCTGCTGCCTCAGGACTTTTGGACTTGCTGGCCGTCTGTTTGGGACAAGACCCCAGATACCAATATGGCTTCTACTTCATTTCCTACAGCCTTTCTCACATACCCTAGTCACTCTGTCTACCCCACTCAGTGTCAAAATGTCAATCTCTAAGCTTGCCTTCCTTCCTTCCTTCCTTTCTTCCTTCCTACCTTCTTTCCTTCTTTTCTTCCTTCCTTTCTTTGTGGCTGATGGCTCATGTCTGTGATCCTGGCTACTCAGGAGGTTGAGATCTGAGAATAGTGGTTCAAAGCCACCCTGGGCAAGAAAGTCTGTGAGACTCTTATCTCCAATTAACCACCAAAAAGCTGGAAGCAGTACTGTGGCTCAAGTGGTAGAGTGCTAGCTTTGAGCCCAAAAACTTAAGGACAGTGCCCAGGCTCTGA